TAAAGGGCTCGTTGCGTAATATTCACATTTATCCATATATTGTTTACAATTTTACCCTCATTCCCGATAATTTTTTGCTTATTTCTAGTGTTTTAATTTGCAACTCTTCCATCTAAAACAATGAGTAATATATCTAGTCTATATATTAAACTCTTTTTTGATTCTATCATAGGATTCAACTTTTAAACTAAGATCTTTAAGTATCTGTTTTTTTAACTTCTTATTATTGATTAAATTAAGTTGTTAAAAGATTACTTGATATCTCAAGTATTACTTACTAAAAAATCTTGATGTTCAAAGTTTGAGTAACTTCGTTTATGTCTCGTTTGCTTATATAAATAAGACTAATAGAGCACGACATATTGTAACACCCGGAATCTAGAAGATTAATGAAGGAAAGAAAACCCTAAATCAAGAAGGCTGCTCGTCGAGTCCAGGGAGGAACTCGACGAGTAGGAGCGGATTTTGGAGTCGTGGGTCAAGTGACCTACTCGAGGAGCTGGGGGACCAACTCGACGAGTAGGTCTGGGTTTGGGAAACCCTAATTTCGGGCTTATGTACCCTAATTAAGCATCTCATTCTCTACCCCTTGGCCTCATTTACAACCCCCATTGTCCAGAACCTAACCCACGAAACCTTAGAGCCTTCATTGAGTGTGTGAGCCATTATTGAGTGAGTTGTGTGTTCTTGAATCCTAGAAGAAGAAGAAGGAGCTTGAAGGTTCAAGGAGGAGGTTATAGATCCAGGGATTTCGTTCTATTCTCATCACTTTCTGGTAATCAAGATTCTAAATTGCCTTGTAGTTTCTTAGATCTCATTGTGGTCACTTTTATGGGGTTTTGGTCCAAGGAGCTTGACTTATGGGTCATGGATGTCCCAAGTTGGTTATACTTTCAGATATGAGGTCTTTGAGGGTTGTGAAGGCATAAAGGTGCAAACTTTATGCCATTGAAGTCCCATGCAAACCCTAGGGATGATATTATGGCCTTTAAACCCCAAAGGTCCATGCATGGAAGTAAAGTTTGAAGCTTTACGTGTTTACTGGGTGTCTAGGGCCTAGATCTTGGTCCTCCTACGTTGGTTTGGAGTAATAAGGGTTTTGGACAAGGATTTGTGTCTTAAGGAGATAGGGTTTGAGCTAAACCCATTAAGAAGGATAAGGAGTGGGTAAAGTTGGAAACTTTACCTTTAAGAGGTCATTTCCAGCATGTAGACGAAGTTTGGGGTTTAGATTTGAAGTGTAGGGGCTTAATCTGTTAAGATGGCCCAATCAGACTGAGGAACTCGGCAAGTCCAGGGAGGGACTCGACGAGTTGAAGTGAGTTGTCCCGATTCTGTTCACGGTAGAACTCGGCGAGTCAGAGGAATGACTCGACGAGTTCATTTTTGATAAATCGCGACCATGAGTAGCCAGGGAACTCGGCGAGTCAGGGGCTGACTCGACGAGTTGGATCGCGATTTCAGGATTCTGAGTTTTAGAACTCGACGAGTTGAAGGAGCAACTCGGCGAGTTGAGTCAACTCGAAGCGTTAACTTTGACCATTGACTTTGACTTCGACCAAGGTTGACCTAGTTTGACGTTTGAGGACATTTTGGGACTAAGTGTATTTTGTTACCGATAGCTCGGGGAGCCGAAGGATTAGCAGTTCGGGGAATTGCCAGTTAGCAGCCAGAAGAGTATCAGCAGGACTTCAGCAGTGCGAGGTGAGCTCCTCATTGTGTGCATGGGTCTACGACCATAATGCCAACCCATTTAGTTTATGTATGGTAGGAAGACCCGGGGTTAGCCCTAGGCATTGTATGCTAGTACGTAATTTCGGACCAAGGTCCGATGTCGGGTGGTACCCGAGGAATGTTTGCATGTTAGATTATACTTGTTGTATGTTTGATACTTGTATGTGCCTGGTAGGGAGGTGAGTGCGGGCGAGGTCTCGTATCTCATCACTAGCTGAGTATGGACGGGGTTCCATATCTCATCATTAGCATAGCAGGGGCGGGGCCCGTGGTAGGAGAGAAGTGAGTGTGGGCGGGGACCCGAATCTCACTATCAGCAGGAGTGTGGACGGGGTTCCACAACTCATCAATAGCAGAACAGGGGCGAGGCCCAAGTTAGGTGAGGCCTTAGAACAGGAATACAGTAGAGTATGTATGATATATGTGCTAGTATGTTTATGTGATTGTATATGTATAGCGGGCGGGGCCCGGAGAAAGGCGAGGCCTAAGAGAAACATATATGTATACCGAGCGAGACTCGATGCCAGGCGGGGCCCGATGCCGGAACGAGTCCGATGTCGGGAAATTCACGATGCAGCGGGCGGGCCCAGTATGTGGTTATGTGGTAGGTTGGGGAACTCACTAAGCTTCGTGCTTACGGTTTCAGTTTTGGTTTCAGGTACTTCCGGTAGCGGAGGGAAGAGCTCGGGATGACTGTATTGCACACACCAAAAAGTTTTAGCCTGGGATGTTTTACTCTGATAAAATGAACATGTTTTGAGATGATACTCTGATTTGATATAGCGACTTTTGTTTATGAATGAAATGAATTGATAATTATGGTTTTTGTTAATGATTTAAAAAGAAATTTTTGGATCGTATTTTTGGGATGTTTCACATATTTCCTTCATTACATTTATTTTTGGGTAATACTCGAATTACCTAAACCCGACCTACTACCCGAATTACCTAAACCCCAATTACCCAAATTTCATTCGGGTCGGGTAACAGGTATTTTTTTAACATGAAAACCCCGAATTACCCGATCCGAATTACCCAAAACCCAAAAAATTTACCTGGTCAACACCCCTAGTAACAGGGTTGACCGAACTGCATCAACTACTACTCCTTTCTCATTCTCAAGTTTTTATCTCATGGAAAGACAATCTTTTCATAATACTCTACGCCCTTTTCATTTGGATTGATTTAACCTTTACTTTTTTTTGCTTTTTCTAAAGATGGTTATATAAACGAATTGATGGACAAGTTAGTGGTAGGGAAAGACAAGTTTGAATTGATAGAAGCAATGAAATACTTTGTTTTATGTTTATGAGAAGCCAAAGAGATCGAACTGTCATCCATTTGAATTTCAGGTGATTTTAACTTGCCCTCTTTGAATTCATTTTCAATATGTTCACCCATACAGAGTATACCAGTAGAACAACATTTTCAGTCTTTATGAATCCCACGTATCCTACTTTCTTTTCATTAACACGGGTTATTTATATGCCCACAGGTCTGTGAATGAGGTTATTTGTCATGGGATTCCAGATGGAAGGTATCACAATCTTACATAACTTGAAGATCGACAGGAGAGGTATTTGTCAGTTTATGATCAATATGCTTTTCCTTTCAAGGTTAGGTTTTCGGTTAAATGCAACAAATAGCAACATTTTACTTTCATTTATTCCCGTCTTCACCCTTTCAACTATGCAGATCAGTTGCAGCACCAGCAACAGAACCAAGTTATGGTTCCAATTCTTCAGCAATCAAGGCTACCAACAATACAGCCGCACCACTAATTACATCATTGGTTCATTGTTTTTTTTAGTAGAATACAAAAAGTGACATGGGAATATTGGTAAGCAATTTTTGTAGGACTGAATGCAGGGAATAATAACCTACTTTTGTGCATTTGTTTGTTAACTCATTGTACTTTCACCTTTCTCTTATTAAAGCATTATACTTTTAGAAATCCAACCAATTATACAATGAAAGTTGCTATATTTGAGTAGGTTTTTCAAGGTACAAAGCTGTAACTGGAAGAAATGCAAGTAAGATGCTATAACTAAACAAATAAAATTATATTTCTTGCATATATCTCATTTTTTATAAGCCAAACTAGGAGTAAATGTGGGAAGTAGCAATATACTTTTGTGTAAACGTTTTTATAGCATGGTGTTTTCATCTCTTTGTATTAACTTATTATACTTTCGGTTTTATTATTAAATAACCTATATATAGTGAAGTTATATTACCCTGTAATTTGATGACACTACTATAATTGGATAGATTTTTCACATAGGTATAATAAACAAGTCAATGGAAGTATGTTGTTATTTTTTGCATGTAAACCATTTTTATAAGCGAAATCAACTACATTTTTCTTTGAAAATATTTTTGATCCGAAAGTGATTTGATTTTACAGGGAGTATCAGTGTGAATTGATTGGGTGTCAAATCAAGAAAAAAAGCAAGACCACCATCAGAGAAACCCGTTGATGGCTACTTTATCACAAGTAAGATATACTCTTAGCTTATCTTTTACAAGTTTTAATTAGGGTGAGTGGGGTGTTACAACCAGAAAGCGAAGTTCGGAGTCATATGAAGGGTAATATAATCATTTTAAATTGAACATCAAATTCGTTATAAAACATCAAAATACGAGTCCAAAGTGTAAGACAACTTTTTTGAAACCAAATTTGAAAAAAGTCGGCTATATTTAGAGACCATAAATAACAAATGTAATGTTTACTTTGCTAATTTGTATGAACTGGTATATAAAGTTATAATAGATTTGTAGTTTACATTGTTGATGTGATAAATACAACAAATAAAACTGTATTTTATAATTGAGTAGATTAATTGGGTAGATCTTTTAAAATATAAGAACAAAGTGATGTTATTAGATGTGTTTCCTTTTTGTAGGTTGCACATTTTCCAGACAAAGCAAATAACTACTTAGCACCAGCATTATTTGCTTTGGAAAAGAATACATAAAATCTTTGAGTTTCTTCTTTTCTTATCAACTTTCTGACTATTTAAAGTATTTTCATTTTGAGTTTTTTCCTTTTTTTTCTTTGTCTCTAGTTGGGTTACCAAAATCAAATTGTGGGTGCTTAGCTTTTTGAATCAGAATTTTGTGATGAATTTTTGAGTGGGTTTTTGTTTTGAAAATAAGGAACCACTGTCTTTAAATCTTGACCTTGAATCTGAGGTTTAGTGTGTTAATTTTCTATTGTTTTTCTGACTAAATGGTTCAATAAGGCTTCCTTCTGACTGCATTCAATGGAGTCAACATGCTTTTCACAGCTTTCTACTCTTTCAGGTTCAAAAGTGTCCACATGTGAGATGTTATCTGCAATCTTAGCGGAAACCTCTATTAAGGGCAGTTTCAGCATATGGTGTTTTGATAATTGGTCAAATAATTGACTCAAATATCAGCTTTACTCTACTTGCATTATACATAGTTCTATGGTATTTTGATAATTGGTGAAATAATTGACTCATATATCAACTTACTCCATCTTATAATATACATAATGATGTGGTATTTTCATAATTGGTCAAATAATTGACACTAAAAAGGCTACATGTCTCTATTTTGACTCAAATATCAGCTCTACTCCATTTATAAAATCATAGTAACTTTTTTTTTCTGCATTAAGTCGAAAGGAAGCCTTTCATATATCTCTTATTGGATAGTAAAAAAAAGTAGAGGTACATTGCTATTCTTGTACACGTTAAAAGGGAGCTTGGATAATCATTTTTTAGAGGTATGCTTAAAGTCTTGCATTCATTTTTTTTCTCAAAAATTGGTGGAGAATAAGGAATTGAGGTGTTAAATGTTCTTATAACTTTCATGATGTATGTTTCACAGGGACATACATTCATGGTGATGTTAAGCGTACGCTCAAAGCTAGCAAAGATGGGATCTTTAAACTTATTGTTGGCCAAATGTGCAACATGTAACATTTATCATAAATAACTTTGATTTTGAGAAAAAGAGTATGAAATCTATGTGTTTAGAACTTAAAATTTGATCTTTTTTTGATAAAGATGGAACCGAAGAACTATAAGTACAGAAAGAATGGATGTTGAAGTAATGACGAAGATGGAGGCTCTTCGATCCCCTGTTCAGTTCATGCCTATAATCTATGAAGACAAGAAGGTGATTAGTATTGTGACACTTCATGGATTGGTTGCAGTTGGACTTTGAAGGTTAGATATTGATGCAACAACTACGATGCATTAATTCTTCATTTGTATCATGTAGTTATTGAGAAATGCCTAAAATTGCATTACTATTCTTTTGATATATTAATTTTTTACTACTCTTTATAAATGTATATGTTTCTAAGTAGATTAATCATGTATGAGAATTTAGAATAATTAAAGTTAGAGAAATTAAATATCATCCTATCTTTTGTTCCTATTTTTCTTCCTATCTATTTAAGATGATGACAAATATACAAATTTAACATCCTAATCAAATTTAAATTAAATTCAATGACACTTGTCACCATCTAAAATAGGTAGGAAAATACTAAGAATAAAAAGCAAAAGGATATATAATTTCTCTTAAAGTTATCTTAACAGGTTTTAATGAAAGTTATCATAACAAGTTTTAATATGATTTTAAGCAAGTTCGTTGTAGTAAAATATAAATTCTTTAAGTTGTTGATATTTTCACCCTCTTAATGTGTGTGTGAAAAAACACAAATGTTAATACATGATGATCCCCATATGGTTGATGTCCCCTATTTGCAAAACCTAAAATAAGTTTTTACTTCGAGTTGATGATAAAAACAGTCGGATGTTTGAAGAAAAGCGATAAGAAAATGAAAACCAAGCACATATGAAACTAATAATTAAACAAAATAATCATTTTTACCAAACTATAAGAAAGAAATTAGAAGCAATGGTTAAAAGAGAGATCCTAATAGACCAAACTACAACTTTCTATATTCTAACCACAACAAATTAATATAAATTAACAGAATGACCAAACTTTACAAACTAAAATTTCAAAACCAATTAAAAAGACCCTAAATTACCCAACTATAACTTGAATACATTGCCTAAACTATAAAAAAATTAAAAATTAAAAATGTAATCCCAACCATTACACAAAACAGAAAATATATATATATATATATATATATATATATATATATATATATATATATATATATATATGTGAGGTTCAATAGAGAATCATAATTAACCAAGGAACCAAGGAACCAATCGTGAGCGTCGAAAATCATAACGATTAACGGCCAATGAAATAAATGTACACTTTTACATTGGACGCACACACACCGGATTATACCAAAAAACTCACCCTTTACAAAAAACTCACCACTTTTTTTCGTTTAAAAATTTTTTTAGGCCATGTTTTTTATCGAAAAAAAAACCGAATATACCGTTGTTCACGATTTTTCGTCCTCTTTCCATAGAGATGCATGATGATATATAAAAAACGAATTTTTTTTTTCGAAAAAAACTCACTTCATTTTCTTTGATGAAAAAAGTTAAGGTCTATTTTTTTATAGAAAAAAATTAATAAATATATCAAATTCATATTTTTTGTACTTTTTAAATATAAATTCATATTCATGTTAAAAAAAGACGATATTTCAGTTCAGATTCACATTGTGAACCTGTTCAGATTCATATTGTAAACCTGTTCAGATTCACATTGTAAACCTCCTCAGATTCACAGTGTGCATAATAATAAGTCAGATTCACAGTGTGAATCTGAACTGATCGGAGCTTTTTCACATTGTGAATGTTAAAATTTGAAATATTTACAATCTATACTGATCGATTTTTTTTTTGTGAACTTTCTCAGATTCACAGTGTGTATAATAGTAATTCAGATTCACAATGTGAATCTGAACTGTTCGAGATTTTTCATATTGTGAATGTTAAAAATTGAAATATTTACAGTTTAGATTCACAGTGTGAATCTTCACTGTTCGAGGTTTTTTTTTTAATCGGTGTTGATGTTTATTAATAGAGTACAAAAAATTAATATTTTTGGTATAATCAGTGTTGCAAAAATCGGCTTTGGCGGCCGATTAATCGTTTGGCGGTCTTGAACCGATTACGATTAGGGTGCTTGGCGGAAATTGGACAAAATCGGTCAAAGTCGGGCTTGGCGGTCTCGGCGGTCATAAGCGGGAAATATTTAAAAAATTCAAAAATTTTATTTTTCAAATATTAGACCAAAATTTTAAATTTTCAAATTTTTAAGTTTTCAAATTTTAAAATATTATACTAAAATTTTCAAAATTACAAAATTTTAAAATTTTAAATTTTCAAATACTTTAGTTTTTAGGAAATATTAATTTTTTAAATAATTTTATTAATAATTTAGGGTCCCCGATTAATCTCCGATTAATCCCCGCCTAGTCCGATTAATCGTTTATCGTCAATTGAGCGCCGAACGATTTTTACAACCTTGGGTATAATTAGTTTTTTTTTTTATAAAAATAAACTTAAATATTGAAAAAACTAAGAAAAATAAGTGGGTTTTTTTCGGAAAAAAAAGTTCGTTTTTTATATATCATCATGAATGTCTATGGAAAGATGACGAAAAATCGTGAACAGCGGTATATTTGGTTTTTTTTCGATAAAAAACTTGGCCTAAAAAAATTTAAATGAAAAAAAGGAAGTGGGTTTTGTTATAATCCGATACATGTGCGTCCATTATAAAAGTTTACAACCCTTCATTTTGCCGTTGATCACTTTAAATTCCGACGCTTTAGATTGTTTCCTTGGTTCCTTGATTAATAATAGTTCTCTATTGAACTTTTTTTTTCTCTCTCTTTCTCTTTCTCTCTCTCTTTATTTATATATATATATATATATATATATATATATATATATATATATATATATATATATAAATTTTATCTCACCCAGGGCCTAGCCCAAGATATTTTTCTAGTTGATAATCATATTTGGTATTGCAAATTTGCAATCATTAATAAAATTTAGAAAAAATAGGCAAAAATATGCTAATGAGATAAATCATTGTTTTTCCTACCTGTTTTTTTGTCATCAAATCTTATTATATCGGTATTCTCATTGCTACTTGAATCATTACCACCCATTAACAAGATAGTGTATGCTGTGTATAGTTTCATTAAATTTAACCAAATTTGATGATTAGTTAGTTCATGCATGAAAGGGGATATTATTCCCTAAGTTTTTGTCTCTTTCAAAATTCAAACCATCTTTATGCTAAAAAAGAGGTTTGTCAACAAAAAGAAAACCCTACAAAGTTTTTGCATTTTTCGGACAAGCAATCAAGTAGTCTAAAATGAGATAATCACTAAAATAATCAAGATAAGAGTTGTTAAAAAATTAAAAGATGAACATTTAGTTTTTATTAGATTATCAAGATCCTAGAATATATATATATATATATATATATATATATATATATATATATAACATTACATATAAAAAACTACATGGTTTTGTGACCAAACAACACAATTAATTTTAAATTTAGACTTTTTTTATGACAAATCTAAAAATAAAATTGTTAAACAAGCTTGTCAATGATGCCATGTTTTCTCCGCTTGTTATCCGAATAAGAGAGTCAATTGTGAAAATTCCAAATCATCCAAATAGTTGTATTTAATACCGCATCAACACATAATCTTTGATTTTTATTTAGACCAACCGTGTAACTGAATAAACCATAAACTATGGACTGAAAACCGGACCAAATTACACTAATCGGTTCCGGTTCTACCAAAAAGTTTGTTGTCGAAGAAGGTGTTCAGAATTGGAACTGGCCCGAACAGGGCCGAAACTGGAAAACTGGAAACCGAATAAGTCGTAAACTAGGAACCGAAAACAAGACCGAATATCACTAACCGGTTCCAACATATTCTAGTTTTGGTTCGGCACCGATTCCAGTTTGGTTTTTCGGTTAAAAAGTTCAATCCATATGTTAGTCCAAAAGGTCGATATATGATATAACCGCATATTAGATTGTCAAATCTCGCAATATGCTCCAAATTCGACTTTACAACAATACAATAATTTACCATATTTTTTAAACTATTACTAAATAACCTTTTATTTCACAAATTGATTCCACAAATTACACTATTTTGTAAAATTACGTGCTCAATAATCCCACTACAAATTTAGTTCGCAAAAGATATTTATTTTTGTAAAATAATTTCACAAAATACGAAGAATTTAGTAAGATATGAACAAATTGTTTGCAAAATTTAAATGTAACAAAAATTGAGAAAGTATTTATATCTTGTAAAATAACTACCGGAAAATAATTTCCCAAAATCATTTTTTAACGATTTTAGTCTTTTTAGTGATTATTCCTTTTGAAAAAATGCATAGTTTTCTTTTTAGCATGCCAATAAGTTAAGGATTTTGCATAATGGTCAAATCTTGCGACTGATTTTGTATAGGGAAAATTGTAAGACACTCATCATGTTACTATGAAATTTTAATTTTAACACCGAGTTATTTTTTTCGTAATTATGTCACTATATTTACAATTTTATTGCAAAATCGAAATTTTGTTGTAATATAGTGACTTTTTCGCAACTTGCCATTTTGTATAAGGACAAACACGTTCCAAGATCAAATCAGTGTTCTTCAATCTTTCATCAATTTTGGCGAATACGCAAAAAAATTTGCAATCATACCCGTTATTATCAAAAACACGTTCCAAAAATTGCTATTAACGACAATTTTTGTACTTATTAATTGTCATTCAACTCATTCAGATACATCAACAACTAATCCAAGGTAAAACCCTCAATATTTGATTTTTCCTTCTATCGAATCTTTAGAATGATTAACAAATGTGAATACGATAAATAAAATTAAACGTGATGAAGGAGTAAACATCATAAAAAAAATTCATTTTCATTTCAATGTTTAATACAACCAAATAAAAGAAATGATTCCCAAAAATATTAATTTTCTGTTGTACCAAAAGGGAAATCAATTCTTTGTCCTAACTTAATTCCTTTTTCTTTCTACATTTATATTATCATCTGCTCCAATTCCATTTCTTTATACCAATTGTGCCCTAGTGTGTTGGAAATGAGAAATAACATACGTGGACACGCAATTAAAGATATTTACATATCTTTTTTTCTTCATATACATTGTGTTAATGAATAGCAAGGTGCGTTCTCATGGAACGTCCACGTTGATATCTGT